CCCATCCGTAATATCCGTCTCTGTTCTCGAGCAGTGGCGCAGGAAAAACCAGCTCTCGCCGGATTATGAATTACACGCGCGGCAACGGGCGAAAACATTTCATCGGGGTTGCAAAAGCTGGATGGCCGCCAGGACGCTGGATCCCACCCGATTCCGGTTGTTCTTGCGCCGGTACGCCGGCTCTGCATTACTTCCAGCATCTTGCCGCTTTCGACTTCTTACGTTCCGTTCGATCTGGAAAGTGTCCGGAAGGCCAGGCTTCCAGCCTTTCATTAGTTACGTTCCTCGAACAACGAGCAGCTCCTCCTCCCTGCTTCTCCTCCGAGCACTTATCGAACTGGAACGATCGTGGCTCCGTGAACTGGAATTACATGAACTTATTACACCGGGGGCCGCGTTTCCGTGCGGGCGTCGCGGACACGAACGATCGTTAAGAATCGGTCGTCGATCTATTGGAAGTTCCGCTGGCAATCCGGCAGTTCGGTCTGTTTCCGGGGGCTCATTAGAAGTTGAGGGTAAAGCGTCCCGGCACTAGATGAATGCGAAACCGACGTATGATCATAAAGGCAACTTCAAGGGAGGGCGAGGGGAGTTTAAGGAAGGATTACAGAATGGATCGATCTGGATCTCGACCTTTTGTCCCGCGGCCCGAACAAAGATTTATGACCGTGTAATGGAGAGCCACGATTAGCTCGAGTATCTTAAAGGAGGCTCCAATTTTTTCGATTTTTAAAATCTATTTAGAACGAAATCTAGTGCGCTTGCGTCAGCCGCTATCTTTTACCGATTATTAACGATTCAATCTTCTAGAATAAACTGCTACTACAAAGTAATAGTTTATCGTAGAAATAACGAAACGGTGTCGATCGTTACCGATCCAAATCGCGGAAGATTTAATATTCCTTTTTCTTTTTCTACTCGATGCTAAGCAATGTTATTTGAATCTAGTCTCTAAATGTAAATGAATTTTCGATTCTTTCTGATGTCTCTCGTGTAGGTCCGTGGTTCCCAATTTGAGAATCGGTTATTAACAGTGAAGTTTTTTTTTTTCTTTGCATTTCTTTGAACGAAACTTTAACCTTCTAATTTTTTTTCTTTCATGAACGTCTTCTTCGATGAAAGCTTGTTTAGATCTTGAAGTTAACTTGCTCCACGTGAAAAATTCACTTTTTAAATAATACGAATTATGCGTCACAAGGGTGAGGCATGGTCAAAAAAGATTTGCAAACTACGATGTGTGAGTGTAAAGGCAAGTCTAAGAGGAGCTTATCGTTTGTTAAATTTAGATTTATAACTGTATAATGGAGGAGGAAGATTGCTACAT